AAAAAAAAAAAAAAAAAAAACTAGAGCTTTTATAAATTTGATGATATTGATAGGTTTGATTTTCTATGCTTTAGCTAAGCAAACCTACAAATGTATGCCAAGAGTGGTTTCTTTCCATATTTTTTCCTTTTACAGAAGAAGCACAACAAATGAGCAGAGTGCAGATGCTGGTAATACAGTTGAACAGGGGACCCTAACTCCAGCCTTCTCCAACTCATCTCTGGACAGATACTTCTCCTCTCTCAAAGAGATCAGCAGAGATGGAGAATCTTTCTCTGACAACTTTGAACCTATTCCTGAGCAGAAGATAGACCAAGATGAGGCGGCTCTTCATGAGAGTGATGGGGAGTTGAGGAGGAGTCACGAGGTTCTGGAATTGGAGAGAAGCATCAGGGTTGGTGGAATTACTGAGAGGCTTCAACGAATGGGAATTGATCTGACATTCCTGAAAGATAAGGGTCAAAAAGAGCCAAAATCGGCAGACAAATCATCTGACAATCAGCACAGTGGCAAACATGAAAGTAAGGTAGACAGCACAAATTCTAGTCCTCCTCAGGAAGTTTTGGTATGTCCAGAATGTGCAGCATTGAATAAGACGTATCTCAGTTGGTGCATAGAATGCAGCTGTGTATTGATAGGTGTGGAACCAGTACCAGTTAAGCAGAAGAAATCTAAAATCCCTGTTAGAGCTACTGAGAGCTCTAGTGTAGCAACTGCCAAGATGCTTAAATCTTCATTGGAAGCTTTTTCCCATCACAAGGCTCAAGAGAAAGAAAATGATTCTGATATCCAACTTGATGGATGGTTCAAGCCAAGAAATTTTACAGAGGACAGAAAACAAGCTTCATACCAGGATGTTGCCAAGGAGAAAGAAACCCCCCCAATTAGCTCTGATTTGGTTGAAAAGGAAGAACTGAAGAATCACCTACCATCACATTTGTTTAAAGCTGTTGATGAACCAAACCAAGTTTTATCTCCCTTTGAAGAAACTAGTTCTCTCAAAAACGAAACTTTAAAATCTGAGCTTTCTCTTGATTTAAATATGGATGAATCCCCAGAAGAAGATGATGAAGATGGCGAGAAAAAAGATAGCCACTCCCAATTTTTAAACTATTTTCAAAAACAGAAGGAAAAGCACAACAGAACAGTTTCTCAAGACAGTGAAATTGAAGTCATTGAAAGAAACAGCAATAGTAACTTTGCCATTAGACAGTCTAATGATGATGTCCCAAATCTAAATCTCTCAGACAGTGACAAAGACAGGGACCCCATTTCTGACACAGATGATGAAGCTGAAGATAAAGGCAATAATGTAGGTGTAATACCACCACTAGTTAGCCACCAAGAACAAGCCCACCTTGAAGCTGTGGGTGGAGTGAACCACCTCAGTCAGGGTGGACTAGAAAGTAGTTCAGGTCCCAATGAGCCAGAATCAAATGCATTCCTAGAGAAACTCCAGGACGACCCAAGAGTAAAACTTGTTCCTAAGAAATCTGGAGACAAGTTGTCCGGCAAATCGAAACCCAGAGCAGTGCAGAGCAAGGTAAAGGCATCCATTGAAAATGAGCCCTATAAAAGAAAATGGGCAAGGTCCAGTTTGGCTTGGTCATCTTACAATCCCGGAGAAATCAAGCCAAGGTCCAGTCTACAGCCTAGTCCATCTCCAGGTCGACCCAGCAGTGCTAAAGGTCAAAGGAGACCCCAGGGGAAGAGCAGTGACAGCAATGTGGATACAGGGAGCTCTACAGAGAATATAGCTCATAGGAAAAGACCTTCGAGTGCAGTGGTGAACAGCAGTAGTCGCGAATCTAGTCATAAAAGACCTTCCAGTGCAGGCATAAACAGAAGCCAAGACTCCAGCAGGCAGAGACCTACTAGTGCCAAAACGCCTGCTGGATCGCAGATTGACCGAGTGTTGGACTCTGAAGTGAGAAACAGTAGGAGTGTTGGTGATGTGAGGCTGAGGAGACCAACCAGTGGTGACAGAGGAATGGGTGGAGTAGACAGCAGTAGACAGGCTGGCAGTGGTGGAGCAAGACCCAAGTAAGTTTCTTAACAGACATGAAACTATGATGAATATGTAGTTCTGCCAATGTATAGGCCTTAGCTTATTTGTTGTTAGTGGTGGCCATTATTATTATCTTTTTTTTTTTTTTTGTAATTGTTAATTGATTGTTTTAATTTTGGAGATTTATTAATATTTTGGACATATTTTATTTTTACACCTCTCTCAAATACATTGTACAATTATAACATACTTAGTGTCAGTAAGCAGTCAAACAACAACAACATCAAAAAAAGGTGTGGCATCTATGAAATTTATTTGCAAATGTGCTTATATCTTATATTTGGATTTCTGTAGGAATAGTGGGAACTTGGGTGGAGACAGACCTAGAAGTGGTCAATTCTCCCCGACTCTTTCAAGGAGAGGTGACAGACCCAGGGGTGGTAACTACTCCCCCTCACTTTCACACAGGGAAATAGGCCAGGGAGATGGTGCCTTTTCTATCAGACCAGCTCTTGTGTCATCAGGTATGGTGGAAAGTTTTTGGATGTTTGAGTATTATACAAGTGGATGATTTCTGTGGAAATGTAAATCTGTGAACGTAGAGGGTTGGCAGAAGTAAAGGTATTTCATTATGATTACTAAATTTAATCATCCAATTTTACATTATAAACTCAATATTACAGCCCTAAAAACAATTTGCTTTTCTAACACATTTCAATCCAATTAACACATGTTGATTTAATTAAGACCGGAACTTTTCTTTTTTTAGGGATAGCAAGTGCAAGAACAAAAAGTGCAATGCAGACATATGACAGATATATTGAAATGGTAAGTTCTTTACAAAACTGCTCAAACAAGAGAAACAAAATAATTTTTTGTTAAGTTGACCATAGTGAAAAAAGAATTTAAAAAAGTGACATTTCTTTTTTTCTGATGATTTGAGTTACTGTTGTCAAATGTTTATCTTCAACCCTGAAAAAAAGTCTGAATTTATTGATGGGTAATAAACATGTGAATTTTATAATATACATTTCAGAGTCCACGCATCTTGGAAGGTGACTTTTCCATGTGGCTGTGTCTCCCTGATGAGATATGGCTACATATCTTCTCTTTCCTGTCACACAAAGAGTTGAACAGATGCACTAAAACATGCAAACATTTCCACAGAATAGGCAGTGATGATGCCCTGTGTAAGTATTTAAATTTGTTTTAATCTGCAGTGCTCCACTGAGTACCCTCTTACAATAACGATCATAATACTTCTTTTATTTTTAGTAACCAATTTGTAAATACAGAGTACATCGAAATCCTTTTATTGTCTGAGATCCAGTATGATTAATAAAAAATCTGACCATTGTATAAACTTTAGATTGTATAGTTTTTAACAAAATTGGTGATGAAAATTGACCAGTAAAAACACCAGTAAATACTACAGAACCTGTACATAACTTTGGTGTGTTGATTTCCTTCAGTAAACATTTAATATTATAAGACCTTCTGATATTTTGTTTATCTAGGGAAGCACATCTGTATAGAGAAGAAGCCACACTTCTTTGATGAGTGGTTGGTTGAGATAGGCCAGCACCACCCCTCTAGGCTGTCCCTCATACAGTGCCTGGGCAATGGGGTGACAGTCACTGGCCTCAGGGAGCTCTTCAGGCACTGTGCAACATCACTGCAGGTATGGTTCCTTTATACAAATTGCTATTTTATATGGACTGATTTGATTTATACATATTGTCTACCTCTTATAAATGATCTGTTCNTCAGTGTGGGACAGTGCCATAGGGTAAGTGTCAGTGTGGGACAGTGTCTCAGGGTAAGTGTCAGTGTGGGACAGTGTCTCAGGGTAAGTATCAGTGTGGGACAGTGCCATAGGGTAAGTATCAGTGTGGGACAGTGTCTCAGGGTAAGTGTCAGTGTGGGACAGTGTCACAGGGTAAGTATCAGTGTGGGGACAGTGCCATAGGGTAAGTGTCAGTGTGGGACAGTGTCACAGGGTAATTGTCAGTGTGTAACAGTGCCATAGGGTAAGTGTCAGTGTGGTACAGTGTCACAGGGTAAGTGTCAGTGTGGTACAGTGTCACAGGGTAAGTGTCAGTGTGGGACAGTGTCACAGGGTAAGTGTCAGTGTGGAACAGTGACATATGGTAAGTGTCAGTGTGGTACAGTGTCACCGGGTAAGTGTCAGTGTGGGACAGTGTTACAGGGTAAGTGTCAGTGTGGGACAGTGTCACAGGGAAAGTGTCAGTATGGGACAGTGTCACAGGTAAGTGTCAGTGTGGGGCAGTGTTACAGGGTAAGTGTCAGTGTGGGTGAATATCTAGGGAATATGTAAGTGAGGGGCAGTGTTGCATGGTTTGCAAGTTTTAGGGTGGGGCAATGTCATGGTAAATGTTATTTTGTCAATGTGGAAAACTATCATAGGGTGTGAGTTAATGTACCAGAGTATGGTGAAAGTGTTATAGGGTGTTTCCTTATTTGGAACTATCCTCCAGTTGTTCAAAAAATCATTTTTCATCAATCTGAAAAGTTAACTGTGAAGTTGTTTAGGTAGTGTTTTGAAAATAATATAAACCATGACTTTATAATTCTTTTCCAGCTGTCAGATGCCTGTATTGTTCAACTGTCTGAGAGTTTGTCCCAGATCAGGACCTTGGATCTCAGGGGGTTAAAACAGGTGATTTGTCTAATATATTTACAATAATAACAGGAATATAAGCAAATTTCTCAAGTAAAATTAAATATAATTTAAAGGTCCTTCATATTCATACTTGACATAATAATAATAATAATAATAATAATAATAATAATAATAATAATAATTTCAGTCTTTATAATAAATATAAATTTTTTCACAAGTTTGGTAATAATTCTTTGCATCAAAAAGGTGTCAAAACATCTTTGTCTCAATCATTTTCTTCTGTTCACTGCTCTATGAAATCCAGCTGATGTTACTTTTTTCCAACTCTGCATTGAAATTTTTTTTATAGATAAAAGACAACTGCATTAGGAAGATAGTAAGGAAGTGTCCACACCTGAACACCCTTGTGCTGGCCAACTGTCTCAGAATCACTGATGTGGCTTTGATTGAGGTCTCTACATATGCACCCCATGTCAAGTAGGTTGATATTAGTGTTTGAAAAATATATATTTACATATTCACTTTTTGAAATGATTAATCTAGCCTTCCTTTTCCTAAAACATTTTCAATTTTTTTCTTTCTGATATAAGATAACTTAAATGTTAATAAATTTTTCCACTTTTATATAATTTTGAAGACAATTCACACACACAAACAGCATTCCATCTTTTCTTTGAGTTTAAAAGATCTTTTTCAAAAGTAAAAGAGAATTAGTTGTACTAGTATATCCATTTAATTACACAGATGGTTAGATGCTAGTGGTTGTAGGAACATCTCCAACCAAGCCATAGGTGCTGTCAGTAAGAACTGTAGAGGTCTGGAACACCTGGATGTCAGCTCTACAGGAATCACACATCTTAGGTAATAATAAATTCATAGAGACCAATACTTAACTAGTGAGATTTTAACTTCATGAGGTGTCTGCATGCACAAAGTTCATGCTGCCATTTTGTTAGGTTATCAAAAAATAATATGTTTCAATTTGAAGTTGTGCCATTGCTTTTATTGATCATTTTGTAAAGTTCTGGTCTGTTATTCATTGAAAATTATTTCAGTGTGATCATGTTGGCCAACAACAGCAATGAGACCCTACAAAAACTAAAAATTAGCTTCTGCCAAGACATCACGGAGTCCAGCATTGTCAAGCTGGTTAGGAACTGTAGGAGGTAAGAATGTGACTGAACAATATATTTTTGAATATAATTAAATATACTTAAATGTTATCTGTCACAAATATTGACTTGCTGTGATTGTTATAATTCAGTATGCATTTGATATTAATAGTTTTAGTAAACTTTTTCAGAGAACCAAATGTTGGGGACTGAAATTTTCCTCGGAATATTCAATTGAATTTTTCCATGTAAAAATTCCTAATGTAGGCCCTCAAATTATTTAAAAAAGGAAAAAATGTAGATAGATAATGCTTGCAATGTCAATGATTGATTTAAGGATTCCTGTACTGCAAAACTCTAAAATAGGCATGAAATAATGCTTACATTAACTGTGAACTAGTACATGAAAAATTATAAGTAATTACTGCTTCACTTTGTGGCCTTATGTCCCACATGGGACGAAGAGGAATGATGATGATAATGATGATGACTGCTTCACTTTAATTTTATATTTATTATTAGAATGATGAAAATTTTAATTTTTAAAGTAAACATACAAGCAATAAGAGGTTGAGCTAGCTTTTCTTTCATTATTTAGTACAACAATGAGAAATTTCTGTGCACACAGATCTACCCACATTTCAATCAATTGATTTATTGAATTATTCCATCTTCAAAGATGCCTTTGCTTTTGAAGAGTTTTTATATTTCACTTTTAGCATTTTCCATATTTTAATTTAATTTTCCTCCCCAGGTTGGATACGCTCCATTTGTATGGATGCAAGGGGATTCGCTCACTAGACAGGGTCTTAGAGATCAAACCTGGCCTGAAAGTGGAAAAATAGACCAGCATATTGACCAACTAGATTTTCACATAATGTATAATCCGTCCAGTTTCTATGATCAAAGTGATAGGAGCTTATGCCGTTACTTGTGATACATCTTTTTGACTCTGTGTTATGTATTTCAGTTCTTTGAACAGTCTATTAAACAAACATCAGTAAGTTGAAATCCAATTTGTAAGATTCAGATTGATATTTATATTTTAAATGTCTACTTTTTAATATATATCTTAAAATAGAATTGCTATTTTGATATACACTGTGATATGCGGAATATTTTTGAAATTATTTCTTGTACTACTTATTTATAAGCTGAAACTTTATTATGCAAAGCCAATTATTTAAATTGAGAAGTCGTTTTCTGATACATTCCTTTTAAAACATAATTTTTAACACTGGCATTTGTGTATATTCAAAATGTCCGATTTCTCAGAAAATTATGTAGTGAATCTAGAAACATTGCAATATATAAAGCACATGCTGAGAATGAAAATTTTACAGCCTCTACTTAAATTACAAGCTTTTAATGCATTTAGCATGCCAAGTTCTTCTGTATACTTTTCCAGAAATAAAAGCAATATCAAAGGAAAATGAGCAACTTGCTGTTTCAGTTATTGACAATTAACTGTTGCCTATGCCCAAAAAATATACGATGACTAAATTTGAAATTTACAAATAAGATTTTATTTCAACATAAAAGTGTGGACTTTAACATGCAGTAGTAACACATTCTTACATGTCTTGATTTCACCATCAAATTCACCATATTTTGCATTTTACTGTTCCAGCCGACACGCTGAGGTTCAGAGATAACTTGAAACAAACCTTGATGCTATATGTTGAGGTCTGTTTTAAGTTATCTCTAACGTTCATGGTGCCATCTGCTTGTCTGCAACTGAATGAAAGATTGCACAATTTAAAACCTACTCAAACAATTGTATCTTTTTCCTTTTTTGTACTGGTAAGTAATATGTAGATTGTACATTATACATATGTTTTAAAACGTCCAATATTTCATTGGCAACTAATTCAGTGTACTTCCCCTGCACAAAATGCGTGCCATCATCAATGGAAACTCCTTTGGTATAGTAATCCTCCCATTGTGAAGTGGCTACATACAAAAAAAAGTATCAATATTTATCAAAAGCAATTTATTTAAAACTGATTGGTTTACTATCACAATATTACAAAATTTATTGCAAAATTTAGCTATATTCATATTGCTGGGAGGACTTTAAAAAAAAATTATTTCATATTCACAAACAGAATTAACTCTTAAAAACAAGACTTCTGACATGTTGCAGTTTAATACAAAAAATGATTTAAAAAAACCTGAAGAGCATTTGTACAAAAAATTGCAATATCTACTTTCTAACTTCCAACTACTTAACTACTTTCTAACACTACTTTTCATTACTTTGATATATATAGCAAATTTTTCATAACAAATTACCTTTTTTCTGTATAACTCCTCCCTTGTATTTATCAAACTGCTCTTCAGTTACTCCCAATATCTTGGCAAACTCCATAGAAAGATTGGCTTCTATAAGTTTGTCGTTTTCACTCATTATGTAGGTGAGAGGAATTTTCTTCTCTTTAACTATGATCCCATCTGTTTTTACCTAAGAAAGATGAAGAATATGCCTAATAAATGAAAGGACAGTTTATAGATTTGGAAGGGAAACAATATTGTCTGTTTTGAAATGCCTCATGACTATAGATAGATAGATAGATAGATCATATTAATGCAGCTGTTACACTAAATTCTCATCATTTAAAATATATAGAACTTTGGACAATAAATAACGTAATATTGATTATATCTATCAAGTAAGTACTGCAATGTAGAACTTTCATGCCACAGAAAAAACTGATCCTGCTGCAAATTTATGTGTGGTACATATAGGTTCATACATCATTTAAAAGGACAAAGCATAAGATTTTATTTATACATTTTTCACTTAAAAGTACATCATTCAAACCCATTTCTTGTTGCACTTATGTAAGGACAAACTAAAACCTTTTCATTATTCAAACAGATAAATGCCATGAATTCATGTTGTTAAAAACAATGTAAATTTTTCATCTTGTAAACCCTGCCATCTGTCAACCATCTTGATACAGTTTTCAATTGCATGCAACCCCAAATACTGTGCAAGGACTTTTTACATCCCAATGCAAATTGTTACAGAGTAATGGCAAGTGTCAGGAAAGAAGTATCAAAGGTTGGTTAGTAAAAAAAAAAGTTTACCCAAAAAATTTGTTCAGTACAAGTTATGAGAGGAAAAATCTTATGCTGTGCCTCTTTAAAGGGATAATAACTCATCGTTTCGGCCAAAAAATGAATTTTCCTAGGGTAAACAACAATTTTTCCATACTTACCAATGGCTAATGAATCCATTTTTACATTCAAAGTTAGTCCCTGGTTTTTTTCTAAAAAGTTTGGTTTTTTGTTAAAATCTCTTAAGAGATTTTAACAGAGTATAGCCATCAATGGAGGTCACGTGGTCTAAAGACAAGCTCAGATATCAGAATAATAGCTATAACTGCCATTTTTGTGGTAAAACTGAATATATTATATTTCTATGAGTTATTCACAATGTTTTTATTGTGAAATATAGATTTCATATGAAGATTTATTATCCCTTTAAGTAACTCTTTAATTTGCATAAAAATATAGTTATATTGCAATGTGCATGCTGAATACACACTTTTATGCAGTTACTCCCTTGTAAAACTTGTACAAATAAGCAGAGCCTCAAAACACGGGCTCTAGTCTGCAAACTCATTCTCAATTTTGTTACAACTTTCAACTTCCATTCCAATAACTAAAATGGATTATTCTATTGCTAATAACATAATATACCAATGGACGTGTGCATTCTGACCCATCAAATGTTGGTGACCTTGTTCATTGTACACTTACATCATAAAAAGTACCATGTGCCCCCTGTTCTCCTGGCTCCCTCATTGCCATAGCACTAGCAGCTATATGAGCAACTGGTAGGTGACTTTGCCCAATTCTTCTACCAAGCCAACGTAAGGCAAGCAAAACAAAGGGTCTATTCAAATAATTAAATTGCCAATAATCTGCCAACAAACATGTGAAAAAATATGGTCTGAAAGCCCTGGAAGTAAACGAAAAAGTGTGAAAATGTTTGTAGTGAATGAAAGTCATTAAACAATTGCACAGTTTACACTTTTTGCCCAATGTTTAAAAGATTCAGCCATTTTTTAAAGAATGACATGTATTTTTTCAAACTTTACAATCACTGCAAATATCTGATACCTATTAGATACAACACTTACTTGCAAGGTTTATGTGGAGTTGGTGTAACAAGCACAATAGTTCTGAATATATCCCATGAAACATGTGCACCTATCATCAGGGCAGGATAGGCATTTAAACCATGAGCTACCACCACATCTGGGCTGAAAAAACACATCAAATATGGTTTTACTTCATCTTTTCAATGGGGGAAGATTGTAAATTTTACTGCATTTTTTAAGTTATAAACCATTTAAAGTTAGAACATTCCTATTGAGTGGTTGGGGCAAAATTAAAAAACAGACTACTCTATATAGTTCTATTCGATGCAGTAAAAGCACCCCAAATGCTATAAAGAAATTTTTGTGATTATAAAATAATCTATCTGAAATTTTGCTAACTTTTGCCCACTGAAAAGATCGAGTAATTTCTTGGTGTTGACATACTTGGTACTATATAAGCCACAATAATATGGCACTATTTTCTGAAGTGAAAAAGTGCATTTTATTATTCAGTAGTCAATCTTATTTTGTTAAAATGTGATTAAGTATTTATATACTTTATTTCAATGCAACTCATAAGAATTAAAGTGCTGGAAGTCACATGATGTGTAGTCAACTTTGTAAGAAAATTGCTTTCTCCCAGTGATATGGGGAAGCTTTCTCCAGACACTTGTTCCTGGCAAAAATACCAAACACAACAAATATTGACAGCATAGCCCGGAAAGGGGAAAGTTACTTGAGAATTACACCAGACACCATAGCCATCTCTTCAAGGCGAGTACCAATAATGAACTTGTTTCTGTGGGCAGCAGCCTTCAGATTAGCAATGTAATCTTTTAACTATTTTTTTAATGTTAAAAAATTATACATTAATAAGACAGTAAAAAAATATACGCCATGAAACAACAGTCTGAATGTAATGACACTTTGGGTCTCTTTCACCAGAATAAAGTTCATACATCATCTAAAAGTTTAAATATTTGACTTACTTTCTTACCCCAATGGTATCTAGAAATGCCAGCAGAAAATTGGCTCTTTCCTTGGTAGAGTGAACATAGTCAGTTTGCTTCCTTAAAACCTGCCACATGTGGGGACTGCCTGTCATCCAATGAAGGTAAGCAGCAAATAATCTGACTGGCTTGAGAATGCTCCATCTTCTACCTCCATATTTTTTTTCAACAGGCACTTCCACTTCAGAAAACCCAAGTTCTGATAAAGGAACAAGATTTAACTGAATCACTGTTGGCAATATTTTGCTCAACACCTTTCTGCCAAAGCATCACAAAATGGCAATGATTAATTATACATTTCACATTTACTTTCTGCCAAACTCTATTGAACTAGAGTTCCCCTCCCCCAAAAGAATCCTGGTTTAGGAATGTTATTCATAAAAAAGTTTTGTCTTATTATGCAAAAATAATACCAAAATTGACCAGTAAAACTTCAATTAAGTTATGAACTTCATAAACTTATGAGCTCTGTTATTCTTCCTAACAAAATTATATTTTTATAACAACAGCTGTATTAGTTCTGCTCGTTACTGGAATTTAATGATGAATACACACTCCTTGAGTTTTAATTTCATTTTACTAACTTCAAAATTAAAAATAATGACACTTCACCAAATGAAATCCATTATATGGTACTTTCATAATTGCATTACCTGGAAAATTGGGAACAATAACACGAACTCCATTTTTTGCTAATTGAGTGATTAGTTCAAAAAGGTCTTTATGACTTCCAGGAATATCATGAAGTATTATTGCAGTTTTCCCTTTGGCATTATGGTTCTCTCGACCAGTATCTATGTAACAAACATCAACTCTCACATTTACTGTATCTCTTCTTTGTGTGGGTATATATTTATCTTTATCTATTTTAGGTATAACCACTTTGGTTTTATACATCCAAGAAGTGCTGCTATTTTTTGCATGTCTCAGGACAAGTGTTTGTCCTGAGGTTTGGTAGAAAAGTTTTATTCCTCCTCTTCTTATCTGTGATACCATATTGAGTGTTTATATCTGTAAAAATGATAAGATTTCAATCATATATTTGGAAGTTCTAAGAACAATTAACTAACAGTACACTTATGATTTGTCTTCTGTAGGTGTCACAGGCCTAGTGGCAGCTGGGATATAAAGTATATCTGTCTGATACAGTTCCTTAGTGTATTATTTCATAGCACTTTAGTAAAGTTTTGATTTAGAATAGAGTTTCTCCCAGCTAAATGGTAGTGCTCTCAAATTCTCCAAACAGTCACTGCCACTGCCACTGGCTATACTGACCAGCACATGTACCACTACTTCAGGACTAAAACACAGAGTACTCCACTATTTTACTGTTACTAATAATAGCAATTAATTAAAAGAATTTATAAAAGGTTGAAATGGAAAAGTTTTGGATTGGCAATGGGCAGCAAGATAAAATATAAAGCAGTACATATATACCATGTAAAAGAACAATAACTAGATTTTTGGAAGTTTTTAGAAGTAGATTTTTGCAGCAATAATTTTTTATGGTTTTTTGTCACCCCCCCCCCCCCTCCCCTTCACAGTAATGAGTAATGTGCGTGTTACGGAGATGAGTATCATGAGATGTGAAATAAAAATTTGAGAGCTGCCGCACCGCGGCTGGTTCGGCAACTGGTTTTCATTTCCCACTTTTTGATGCCGTTGCTTTCATGCGTTAGCACAGTCAGTACATATCAGAATCGTCAACAGGAGTGCTAACGCATGAATTTTCGTGCTATGGGACGGTGTGACTGTATTAGAAGTAAACTCGTACTGCCAGTCACAACGTCCACTGCAGCATATTTTGCAGTGCTGGCAGAAACGGACTTAAAGCATATGTGTACAAAAGTAATCGCATGTTAAAATAAGGACGTTTTCCTACATTCAACACATATTTCCAAAGTTGAAGATGCATGCAACCGGCATTTATAGCAACATTCCCGTTTGGCAGAAAAGGGCAAATCGATGCCATCGATAGTGCAAATAGGTAAAGCCTGTCTTGGCAGTACTATAATAATAATAATAATAATAATAATAATAATAATAATAATAATTTTACATGTAAATTATGTATTATTATTTCTTTTGTTTAGGATTGAACAACTCTCCTTAGCCCCCATAGTTTAATTGGACTGTAAATAACTTGTTCATGAGTTAAATAAATAAATCATTTTTAAATTAATGTTGATTATGCTAAAATTGCCGATGAAAAATAAAGTGCAGTCCACTAGAAATGTAGCTGAGACCATTTATTGTCAGTGAGGAAATATACATGTAGATGTGCCTATGGCAAATTGTATATGCTTGAGGCATTGTTGGTATTCCAGGCTACACAGTCAAAAGTAATTTGAAAAAAATAAATAAATAAATAAAATAAATAAATAAATAAATAAATAAATAAATAAATAAATAAATAAAATAAAAATAAATAAAATAAAAATAAATAAACAAAAATGGTATATTTTAAAGTTTTATTTCCATAACAAGTGTACTGGGTAGGCCTACATTGGCCCATGTCTTATTATTTTACTTATTAGCATATTTTTACCACTGTTAATATTAACTCCATGAAACTCACATTGAAAGAAAACTAACGAAAAGCAGCTTTACAAAGTAAAGTCAGTCAGTTTTACACAATCATTTATATTTTTAAAATCAAAGATATCAATACTTTTAAAAGGCATTGATTATTTACATTCCATATTAAATAAAAGAAAAACAAATAAGATACCCCTAAAAGAACAGCAAATTACTGTAGAAGGTTGAAATTCAATAGGAATTTTCCTTCACCAAATAACTGTTAAATGGAAAGATGAGACAGCAAACAAATACATTAACTATAGATATCATATTAAATATAGTAAACATATTACAAAACATTTCCTAAAAATCAAACTCCTGTTTACTATGAATAAATAGAATTAATATGGAAATGTTGTACCAGTAGTTAATATTGTCAATATTGTTGAACATGATAAATTCAACTATAAATAATGTTTAGCAACATGACAGTGGGACAGAACACTGGTGTATACCTTACATATATAAGATGTTGTGCATTGTTATATACAGTGTAGTTATCAGTATTTCATATACATTGGAGTTGTAAACATTTTTATATTTACAGGTAAAATATTTGATGTTGTAGAGATAATGTCACATACTTTCTTGGCACTCATTCAATTGCCTCAGATCTGTCATCCATCATTTGTAAAATTGTGCATAGTGCAAAAAAAAAATGCAATGAAAAATAAAAACAAAGAAAAAATGGTCTGACTGATAACTCTCATCAATAAATACTTCAAAAATAATTAATCAACAGTTTTAAATAACAGTTTGACCTGAATTATGTGATTTTTGTAAACAAGTTCTCTGGAATGATCAAGCTATATAAATTATTGTGCACCACTTACAATGAACTTTTTAAAATCAATGCTAATTAATGTAGGAAAAAATATTTTGACTCACATGATGTCAGCAACAATAAATATTAATATTATACAAATATTTCAGGCATCATTACAATAAAATGCTACCTGAGGTCTAATAATAAAACTTATAAGAAATGTACTGATCCATCTAAATCTGGCAATCAGTGCCACCATAAATTATAGACACGTGTTAAAATGTGACTCAAAATACTGTGAGCATAACATTTTATACAGTACTTTTATAGTTTCAAAAAAGTCATGAAATTGCCCCTCTATTTTTGTTCTTGTAGCCATAGCACCAATCCCGATAGATAGGTTATGTTTATGCGTCTCTGACAGAGTGAACTGAATGCTTCAAAAATGTAGCTGAATAGTTACATTAAATCATCAATGAACATTTTGATCACAGTGCATTTTGTAGCAAAATCACTTTTTTGTGAATGATTTTTCTCATTTTATGTCACTTTTTTAAAGATCAAATATCTTAAAAACCTAATTCCTATGTATTTTTCTTTTGAAACATATTGTGATTTTACTATGCTGCCACTATCTCCAATAATAATAATTTATTTCTCATTCCCTGTTGGACCAAGGGATAAGATATAAGAGGAATGTGCCACATTCCAATCCTATTTTATATAGAGTAAAGTTGTTTGATATCTATTGGCAATGCACCACATATGTAATGATCTACTCCATCTGAGGTAATGTGTTGTAGGTGCTACTGGTGCTGTTCTGCCGGCTGACTATTTTTGTTCCTTCTGTAGAGGGCAGCTTTGGTCTGTAGATTACTGCTGAGGCAACACTGTCCTGGCTCTCTGCAACTCGAGCTGGACCCCAATCAGCAGAGGGTTGAAGAAGATGGACAAATTTCTGGAGTTAAATAGAAATAAATTGACGTTTGGGAGCTGTATCATATCCTGGTATTCTGTTCATTAAATACAGGTTTTCCTGGTATGCCCAGGCATCAAAAATAGCAATTTCTTTGAACGGTAATAGATTGGAAATTTGACAAAGATAGATTGGTAGTTTAATAATAATAATAATAAATCATTACAGAATACACAACAATATAATTTCATTTGCCAAAATTAAAACAGTATGGCAAATTAAAATTTCAATGAAGAAGAAAATGTTAAACTCTCACCTCTAGAAAAGATTTTTCAGCTGGAGCCTGATATAACTTTATGGCAGCTAATACCAATACTGCAATAATAGGTGCCAAGGCCATTAGCCATCCTATCACATTAGCCCACATGGGGTACACAAAACTGCCTGATGTCAGAGGTTTGTACTGCACCCAGTTGAAAATCAACAAAAACTGAAAGACAAATTAAAACTGCATTGATATTTAGCATTGTGTATTGCAAATATTTCATATGTTCTGTGTATTATGTTTGGGATTAGGTTTTAGGTTTTTAATATTGAATACTGGTTTAATGTTATAATTCAATTAAAACTAGATTCCTCTAAAAATATAAAGTCATAAGGAAATTTAAGTGTATTAACTTATAAATAAAATCTGATGATACAAACACTTACCAGAAGAGTTGCAGGGCTAAGGATTTTCCAGAAAATGGAGAAGAAATATTTAAATACACGGCCCTGTTCACCAATCATTTCTTCAATGTTCCTCAGGAACCTATCAGCTCCTAAAATGGGCAAATAGATATTGTGAAATTAAGTGTATAATTTCTAAAATAAATAAATAAATAAAAATTGAGTCACAACTTAGCATTAAGCTTCAAAGCATTAAATTTCTATTTGACGAAATAGATGATTTATTTTCTAGGACAAAAATTCTGCTCACCATAAACCCATCCAATGAGAATGCACTCTGTCATGGCTATGAGGAAAACAGACCAACTGGCAGCATAGGCATCCATCAGAGATAAAATGTAGATACCACCCTGTGATAAAAACACGAACTGAGTTAAAATACATTGTTGCAAAATATGCAATAAAAAATAAATGTTTTAAAATATTAAACACCATATACCACAGAGAATTAAGATATAGATAAGATAAGATATGGAATCTGACAAAAATTTACTAAGACAAAGATGACACATACAAATATATAGATAAATGAATAGATGAAAAATAAATAAAATTATAAATTAACATCTTAAAGCATATATGCATATAGTGTTTCTTCAAATACGATGAATTACCAATATTTCATCCCAAATACCTACTTTAGTGCAAATGATAAGTCCACCAAGATAACCAAGAACACTCATTCCCAGAACCACGAACACCTTTCTCTCACGGAACTGTGGGAAGCGGTCAAGGAAGGCAGTAGTCACAGTTTCCAGCAAAGCAAACTGTTAATAAAAATAAAAGGGTTAGTTTCTTTAGAGATGGAAATACCAGAAAATTTGTTCCTCTACAATTACCAATCCATTTTGTATTTCTGACACAAGAATTAAAATTGAAATTGAATTCTTTGCTTACCTGACTATCAAGCCCCAGTGTCAACATCATGAAGAAAAACAGAAAAGACCAAAATGGTGAGATGGGAAGGCGGGTCACTACCTCTGGGTACACAATAAATGCAAGACCTGCTCCTATAAAACAAATAAAAATATTATATTATGTTAAGTTAGAATGATTTAAAATTTATATGATGTTTGAACATAGGTTAAATAAGCACTAATTACATATAATGCCTGTAATGTATTTGAAATTCTTTAGGAAAATTCAAGAAAAAATTTTAATTAGGACAGATTTCTAATTGGTGAATAATTTGCTGAGACCAATTCATTATGCTAACCACATTATTTCTGAATATTCTGACATAAATAATTTTATTCAAGCAGATTTGTATTCCTTACCTTCATCTACCACCTTATCCACTGGTTGGCTTAGCTCATGGGCAAGGAACCCAATGATGGAGAAGATCACAAAACCAGCAAACAAGCTTGTCAACACATTACTTATGGACACTATCAGGGCATCTCTGATAAAAGAAAAGATTTTTATGTGAGACTTGGAATTGTAAATAAATACTGATATAGTTTCATTTATTTTTTAACAAAATAGGTGAAAAATGTTTCTTGCATGCAATTTTGAAAATGTTAATAAAAAATACATTACTGATTTCTTTGAAAGTGTACCCGATTCAATGCTATGCAATTTATATAAAAACTATATCCTAGATACAAGCTATTCATTGGCCTTGTAATAATTAAAGCATCAATTTGAAAACATCTTACTTGAAGCAATTATTGCTAAATTTGTTGTAGCTGGACAACGTGATGAGTCCACCCCAGGCTGGACTGAGGGCAAAAAATATCTGGACAGCTGCATCCACCCACACTTTGGCTGTTCCAAGCTGGGAGAAGTCTGGTTTTAGGTACCAAATGATTCCATCCACAGCACCTGGCAGAGTGACGCCGCGGAAGAACAGGATGATCAGAACAACATAAGGGAACAGAGCTGTGAAGTAGACAACCTGTTAAAAGATAACAAAGATGCATAACTTCAATTTGCAATTAGAAAAATAATTATATTTTTGTTTAATTTATTATTATATATCATGAGAGAGAGAGAGAGAGAGAGAGAGAGAGAGAGAGAGCAAATAAAAAAGGAATAGTGATAGCAATATCAAAAAGGTAAATAATCAAATGGAATAATTAAAAGGAACACCATCTCTCAAAAACAGAATGTAAGTGTAGGAGAGACAGTATTATAAAACCAGCCTTTAAATATTAATTAAATATCAAATTAAGCCCTAAAATATTCTGTGAAATGCCCTGAATATTGATGTATATACAGTATTTTTTTAAAACTTACTACCAAGTGGTGTGTGTAATAATGTGTGGGTGGGGACAAAAATTAGAGACTCCCTTTCTTGACATTTTGGATCTCAAAGTGATGATTGATACATAGGAAAAAAGGAAAAACATCCTACCTTGCCTGATGACTGCACCCCTTTACTAAGACATACAAATACAATGAGCCAGGCTGCCAACAAACACAAAGCAAGTTCCCACTTCAGTCCTCCAAGATCACCAATGCCAGCTGTCTGGCCGAGAACATAATTCCTGAAATGTGGAATAACATGTTAATCATAGTATTACTGCACCTGTTTTTCTATATCTGAAGGTATAAGAATTTTTAAAAATAAAAATAAAAGTTAAATTTGTAAATTTACTTTTTATTTTCTTTATATCATAATATTTTTGCCTTAGTTAAAAATCAGTACATGAATTATTATACATACACTGCCACAAAGAAACAAAAGAGATTTGTCAACTTTTACAAAATAAAACAAAAAAGATAAAGGCCACTTACTTGAAATATTCCTCTGCAGGAGGCTTCTTAGTCATATTCACTACCAAATCTTTTATTCCAAAGTCTTCCACTAATGAACTATTGAAACATGTTCGATTGTAAAACAGGCTCCCATTGGTTGCCTGGCAGAATTCAGCATCTTTGTATGAATAGCAGTCTGGAAAAAATCATAAATAGAAATAAAAACCTCATTTTAGTAAATTATTAAACTTGAAAAAAGGGTGAAATTCACCAAAGAATCATACAATGGTAATGGTTTTCATGAGCAAAGAATATATCTTAAGGTGCTCCAAGCTTCAATTTAGAGAAGAAGTAAACATGTCTAACACTTCTATACTAACCATTAGAGCTCCATTTGGGATCACAAGTCTCCCAAGGCAAATAATCTGTGCATGATGCCACCATATAGAATATTGTCCAAGCTATGATCATGTTGTAGTACAGGGAGACAATGGCTGACACAATCACCATGCCAACACCAAGGCCTACATGAAAAAAAATAATAAATTGTACTTAACTATACAGAAAACAGATATGGTACATTATGTTTGTCAGATGTCTCAAGCAAGATGATGTAAATGATAATGGTATTGAAAAATACTTATGGTTGAATATATAAGCCCATGAATCTTACAATAGGTTGATGAATAAGCAGCTTTCAAAATAATTGCTTCTGGTACACTTATGAACTGTGCATTATGACAGCCCATGCAATTTTATTTCTTGTAGTGTGATGTGAATATCAGATGTTCACTAACTTACCATGGAAAAGTGGACAGAATCTTTCAAAGATGGCAATGGGCCCTAGGCTGGCATACTGACCAAAGGCCAGTTCCATAAACATCAGGGGGAAACCAACCAACAGTAACATTATAATAAAGGGCAGCACAAATGCTCCTGAAATGAGAAAATGAGAAAGAATAATGTATCATTAAACGTCTTAATAGGATATAATTGTTTTAGTAATGGGACAGGCTTGTTTGAGCAGATATTGGTGTCCATAAATTGTCTTGTTAGTGGCAATATTAACAATGATTGCAATTTTTTTAATGTTCAGCAAATGTGTATTTAAATGAGTTCAGCAGGAAATTTAGCCAGTTTGTTTAAAATAATGAATTCCAAGAAAATAATTGGTTGATGATCTCAATGACTCCTAGGTCATTTCATTAAAGGCAACCCTTATACCCCCGTCACACTTATTCGGAATCAGCAGAAGTGAAGAAGAATGAGCCTGAACGAAGAATTTTTATAATTCGCACCACATTCGGGGAAAAATTTCAAATTGACCTTTATTATTGTAAGAGTACCGTTGGAATACTCAGAATGCGCTTGAATTCGCCTGGAATGATGAGTTCACTTTCGACTGTATTAGCTCTCAAAAGCAGTTCTAATATAGTTGGAAAACTAGGAATATTTATAATGCTGTAAGAACGCAGTAAGAATATTTAGAATATACTTTGAACGGTGCACTAGTGTAGTTCGATTGCTGGCAAAATTAATATTTCAGCTCATCCGAGGCACATTCAAAATATTGTGGCGGGATATAAAATCCCCATCATACTAGAGGTGGAATGATTAAGAATGGCATCTGAAATAGAATTCTTTGTGCATTCCAGGATATTCGAAGAGCATTCTAAAAACATTCTAAAAATTCTGAGTGCATTCCAAATATTTTTACCCATTCTTGTGGCTGGCTTGAATGTTTTTGTCATGTCAAAAACTTTCGAAGTGCATTCCAAGAGGAAATTTGTTGCAATATCCCTACAGTATTCCAACTACATTAGAGCTGCATTTGAGAGGTAATATACCTGAAATGTGCAAGAATCATTCCAGGCGGGTTCAATTTGCATTCTTAGTATTCCAGAGGCATTCTTACAAAGCCGTAATGTTTTATGATAATTTGAAATTCCCTCCAGAATATGGTACAAATTTTTAAATTTAGTAATTCCGGCTTGATTCCTACTGATTTCGAATAAGTTTGACGGGGGCTTTAAGTCACTTGTCAATTTGAATATTCCTCTAATGTGATCAGAATGTTTCGAATGCTGTCAGAATGCAGTGACAATATTTAAAATGCAGTCATAGTGCAGTTAGAAGTTCAAATGCCATTCGATAAATTTCCACTTGGAATGCACTTCAAAAGTTTTTGACATGACAAAAACATTCGGGATGCCACAAGAATGGGTAAAAATATTTAGAATGCACTCAGAATTTTTAGAATGCTCTTAGAATATCCAGGAGCACACAAAGAATTGTCTTTCCGATGGCATTCTTGCTCATTCCGCCTCTAGTGTGATGGGGGCATTACCACTAACAACAATGAAAAGTAGAAAAATCACTAAGTAATGCTGCTACACTGAACTGTCACTGCCTACAAATTACATGTACACATACAGTTACCAGGCATTGCATTATACACTGGGTTCACATTAATATTTACAGAAAATCTGTTCAGCACACTCCACATTGATTTCATGCCAATTTTATCTCCAGGACAGGAAGGCACACTGTTTGCCATGAAACCACAAGTAAGACAGTTTTTTATCACTTATTCAAGGAGCACTAAAATCTGGCACCCTGCCAATGGAATATATCTACTTTTCTTTCTACATAGCCTGGAAGATTATTTGATCGATAATCCACTTGGGGAGCTACAAAGCATAATGTCATCATCCAATCAAGTAATTGGAATGGTAGGCGGGCACATGTCTGAAGTCTTACACATAAACCTGAGACAAGTAATCGATGGTCTACCTATTTCCTAAAAGCTAATTTTGTCACTTGTTATTTATAAGTACAGGGCAATTGTGATCTGAGTTATGATGCAATCTATACATTATTTAAAACCTTATACAGATGATTGAACGGTCTACCCTTGAAAAGAGATTATGGAGGGAGATTCATCCAGAATTTGCCAGATATTAAAATGTCTTTACACTATCTACAAAAAATAACTTTAACCATGTGTGTGTGTGTGTGTGTGTGTGTGTGTGTAAAGGTCAGCTTCTTTCACCAAAATATCAGTCCACTGTAAACTTGCATCTTTGGTAATGCTTGTGCTCTTTTTCCAAAATATGTTTTAGTTTTTTGTTCATTTTCTCAGTCCTTCTAAAAGCTCTTTGTCCATTTTCACTAAATTAAGGAGATTTAATATCTACTCCAGAAGCTGTGAGCCAATAAAATGTCCACATCATTACCAAGGGAACAGGATATGCATTATGCATCAATTTACAGGAAGGCTGTTAAAGAGCATCATGGCAGATATATATTTACCATTTTCACATCCTTCAGAGACATACATCATGGGGTTTAAATTAAATAAAAAGTCACATGATATTTTTGAGGATTCATTGGCAGTTGTTTTGATAAATGATGCCCTTAAGACAATTCTACTTTCTAATCAAGACTTCTAGTAGATCTGAAAGCTTTTCAAGTTAAAAGTTTCTGCTTTTTTATGTCAAAAATCAAACAGACACTGTATATCTCCAGGCATAGTCAGAGCATCTGAATAAAACTAATTCTAAAAGAACGCAAGACTGTGCTTGTGTGTATCATGCCACACTGAAACCCTGACCTGAACATCTTTATTTTAATCATTTTTTTTTATCTTAATTTTTGTATCTATTTATATTTAAACATAATGCTGATTATATTTAGATATAAACAGATATAAAACCACTGGGTGGCAAGGTTTCTTCTTATGAGATTCTGCTGCCCAGTGGTTCTGTTTCTCTTCTTTAAATGAGTGGTCAATAATAACTCACTGATTATATATTTCCTTTGTTGGAAATAATGTTGACCCCCCCCCCCCAAAATTAAAAAAAAACAGACAAACAAAAAAATAAATAAGTAAATAAATAATTCAAAGTAATTGCCTACCTCCACCATTGCTATAGACAAGGTAAGGAAATCTCCACACATTGCCCAGTCCAACAGAATATCCTAACAGAGATAATAAAAAGTCAAATCTTCCAGTCCAGTTGCCACGGTTATCGTCATCCTCTTCAACGATCTCATCAAAAACATTGTCATTACTTTCCAACATCTTCTGCTGGCTGCTGAAGTTTGCAACATCTTCATCTTCCATGTCAATTACCTCTGGATAATTGCCTGCTTTCTTCTATGGGAAATAAAAAATAACCTTGAAACCACAGAGTACAATAAGCAATTAACAAATAAAGCTGTGTGATAAAAGCATTGTATTGCATAGGCATTTTTTCTGGAGTGGAGAATATGTCACTAGCAATATTAATATAATATTGTAAAAAGTTAACTTCAAGTGATATGCTGTACCTGGTCTGGTGCCTGTTGTTGTTTTCCTCAAATATCCTGGTGCATTGTTTGTATTGATTTATATCAAGACACATATATTATTGGCTGTGTAGTTAAATATCAAAATATTCTTTAAGTATGCAAATATCCATGACAGTGATGTTCGAGTGTGCTTTTCAATAAACTATTTAACTACATTCTCACCTCCATGTTTACTCCAGGTGTAAACTCTTATTGATCAGGACTGGTGTACTCAACTTTGTCTGAAAAACAGTTGAAATAGTTTATTTAGAAAACACTGTAAAATGTTGATTAAAAAAAAAGAAATTTTAATAATTGTGCTTTCCTTTCAGAATTCGAAGAACAGGATGTCCTGAAATGAAAACACTGGAGGTTATTTATCAATGTCAGCCTAACCTATGTGGAATGTAGACAGTGCAAAGTACCACATCCTGCTGGAACAGTCTAGTATTATATGCTTTAAATATGAATATACCCTGGAATTTACATGTAGATCAACAGCAAACTTCACCTTCCTTGGTAACCTTGATGTACTGGTAAACCACTCGGGTTAAAGAACATTATCAAAGTGCATGTGTATTTTTTCACTTGTTGTTTGTAAACATGTTTATTTTATAGAAAGCATCACTAATCCATTAGATGACATGATGCAGGTTGATTGTGTTTTGTTGTGATGTTGTTAGCACTGTGCTCTATCCATTGCATACAAATCAAGGAAAAAAAACGAATTTAAAATGCAATGTAGCGTGGTATTACATGGTTTACCATCCCTAAGTTGTCCTAATGCTATGCACACTCGCATGAAAAAACTGTCCTTTAAACCTTTCCAATGTCAACTTTTGACTCAGTGTGTTAATTGCTCATCTTCCGAATGTGATGTTTGTAGCTATTCATTTCAGACATAATAATGAACCTTTTCAGTGGAAAATTGAGGAATGGCTGACATATTTACAGGATTAATTAATTCACCCACACAGGTATCCATCTGAATGACATCAGTCATGCAATATACAGGTACCTCATCAAAGACCAGTAAAACCAGCATGGTATTATATTATTGACAGCTATTTCACCAGGGTAATTTCTAAATAATATAATATCTTTGAAATAATATCTCAGTGATGAGTGGTTAGCTGGTGAGAGATGATAACATTGTTGTCTAATACAATCTAGAGAAGCATTTATCCCAGAGAACAGCAGATAAAAAATACTGAGTATTATTTCACTTGGGACATTCAACTTTCGCCATATATCCCTTTACAAAAAGTAATGAACATAGAGCGTAGCATAAATATTTTATAGCATGTTGATTCCATTGATATTTTTACATGAACATTTCTGATATTAAATCGATGGACAACAGGTCTTACAGTGGCATCTACTTTCTATATTAAAACAACCTAAAGACTCGAAATACCATAAAGTTTAACCAGCATTACCTGCAACTTAATTCTACCATCACAACAGTATATATATATATATATATATTCAAGTGCATTTTCTTGATCATTTATTCCATGTAATACAGTCCCCAAAGTTATTCATCATCACCTATTTTTGCCATTGTACAATTAAGAGCATATTCTCAAAATATGAAGTTTTTATAGCTCATGAAGCTAACAAGATTTTGAATGGGCATGTTGCAGGGATGGATCCAGGATTATTTGAAGGGGGGGTTCAGGGTTTTGGAGGGCAAACGGTGCCACTTGGTGCAGTTTAGACCTATCATCGAGCTCTTCAAATTTCTAATATCAAGAGGGGAATATTGGTGATTTTTCCAGAAACCAAAAGAAATCCACCACTGTATTAGTATCAATAACTAAACTTCTTGATGCAAAAAAGTTGTCCTGTATGAATTTATTGGAATAAACCCATAAAATAATATTGTTCATAACCTTAATATCAGTTCATAGCGCAGACAGTGACTCGCTCTCTTCTGACTTCGTCCTGCCTGAGTAAATAGGTATTCTAAGCCTTTGGGAATCATTATTAACATATTTGGGGAGAAAGTAGAAATCTTGGCACACCTCCAAGATATAAAGCGCAACAACTTTTCAAGCAAGAAAATTGGATTTCTTTTCAATTTACGCTTGCAGTAGAGGACATAGTCGCCCTCTCAGGAATAGCACTATGACGCAAATTCCTTCAGTGTGGCATTTAGTACTGGCTTTCACCCGCCGAATCAATAGTAAATTACTCGCACAGAGACGAAGGCAATTTTGGCAAGCCTACCTGAATCTTCACTGATTTAATGCCAGTTTGCAGCCAATAATAAACATAGCACTATCTATTTCCCTTAAAATTGACATACGCGTTTGCAAATGCAAAGACTTAACAATTTACAAACAACCAGGCCGACAAAAGCTACAAATTAACTGAATTCAGTCGAGTAATAAAGTGAACGAAGTTAATATCTGAACTGCTATCAACATTATTTTACAATTTACCTGCGTTTTGATGGTCGTTCTCGTAACCGCGTATGCTGTCTACCGATCACAGACCTGCTCCTAAATAGATTATTGATTTTTATGATGTGGCCTCGCTTACCGCGCTGTTAGTTTGTAAACAGTCACTGAAACCACCACATTGAAGTGGTTCCCTTTTATATCCAACAAACTTCCGATATTTAACCGACCTCTAACCCTTCCTGGAATTATGCTAATTTTACATCCGCACATCGCGGTCTGATGAATCGAGTCCGCGACCATCCCACGTGCCCTGTCCTTTATCTCTGCTTTATAATAAACAGAGCAGCTGCCCTTGTCCATTGACTTCTCACAATACATTATTATATTACAATTACATGGGAACGTCTTGTTTCTGAGTATACAAAAACGTAAGTCAGCAGGGGGTAGAAATAGTAGTAGCTGGTCCGTTATGGTTGGTCACCTTGGCATAAATACTTGTATATTTGTATTAGGACATACCATATCTGATACATTTTTATCTAACATATACGTATATATCACGTTTAGCATGTGTATTATTAGCCCATACATAAAACTATAATAAAAAACATAGGGTACCTGTATTCGGAGACACAATGTTCGTATCGTAAATCGTACACGCGGTAGTCTACGCACTAATGTTTATAAACAAAGAGTAAATATACCTTTTCCGCTTCTCAGATTCTGTCTTGATGTCTTGTTAATCTTGAAAATATTCCGTTAAACGTTTTACTAGTATAGTCGACAGTCTGTTTTGTTTTGAAACGCTGAATCTTATTCTGAGACACGTAAACACAGAAATCGCTCTTATATTGATTTTTCTGAGTTTCTGAGAGATTTCATTGGTCATAAATATTCATCATTGAAACGTCACGGTCTCTTTGCTATAAAAGGAAGTGGGGTCAAAGATCACAGGATTTATCAATGAATGGAAGTTAGAGGGCCGTGTGAAAACAGCCAATGAGTCACCGCTACGTCACAGCGTAATGGTTGTGAAATGCACAGCTTGGTAGAACTGGCTGCCAAGCTCTGTAACAAGATACCCTCAGTACTGCCGTGAATGTTCCAGAATGTCACTCGTGAAAAGTAAATCTGGGAAAATGAGCGGAAAATTTTTCTACAGCAAAGAAGTACAAATGTACTCATCCCTTTTCTACTTTAAAAGTTGTCCATGGAGCAGACACAGCTAGGATACCGAGAAGAGGGGGGGGGGGGGGGGGGGAGCGGGCATCTCTACCAGGGGCACAGTAGTAGTTATCTGTTCTTTCCTGTAATGTATACTACACAGTAGTAATTATGTATTCAACATTAACATTAACATATTAACATATTCAATTTTCTTATTAATTTTCACAAAACCATGAACGTACCTAGTTTAAGCAATAATTGGAAAACAATTTTCAAGTTAGCAATACTGACGGTATTGCTTGAGTAATGCACAAAATACTGGAAGATGGTAAGGGATGTGTGATAAGTCTGAGTTAGTAGCCTAAATGTACGTTTCTGTGGCTGACGTCTGCAGTTGCCATTCAAAATCTATCCATCAAATTTGAAAATTGGTAGAAGCTCTGCATATCTAAAGGAACTGAATAATACATTTTTTCTAGGATTGGTCTTGTTGTTATCACACTAATGGTATTGTTTCTGAATAATCCATACTTTTAAGCAAGTGTAAGCTCCGACATGAATGCTTACATAAGTACTGAAAAAATCCTTATTTGTCATAGTTACCTGGTATGAAAACAAAACGTGTGTGTGTGTGTGTGTGTGTGTGTTAACAGATAATAAGTTGCTAGTGCACCCAATGAAAATCTCTTCCCCTATTTCGTGGGTCTTTCCCCAACCAACAAAACCCCGTGAAAATCTTGTGGTGCAGTAGGTAGTTTGATACATGTATTTGCAGAACATTTTATTAACAAGGATGTCGAATCCCAGTTTGTAGACAGCTTCAAAACGGTTAAAAGAGTTTAAAATGCGGTGGTGGGGGTTATAGGTGGTTGCGGAAGTTTACAACCACATCCTTTTGGACAGTGAAATAAGATGAGGCACTATAGAAGCTGTTGTTTACGCCTTCGTTATGAGACAGACAGCCAAAACAGCCCGCATTCAGCATGCGGCAAAATGAACTGCAAGGTCACCTTGATGCTCTACCATGAAAGTTGACTTCGAGGGAAAACTACAAATGGCAACAAAATGCTCTCAAAACCATCATTTCATCAAACACAAGTTACAAGCATAAGAAAATATAAAGTAATAGTGAAGGGGGAGTGAATTAACAGCAGTTCTTATATATTTAAAAGGCTCCTAAGTTGTGATGCTGTGCGTCATCTAACATATGGAAGTCTGTCAAATTTTATCAGGAAGTTGAGTAGTTTGTTTCCAGACTTCTTGCGAACACGGATATTAATAGCTCAACAGTAAACGTGCTAAAAAATGAAACAAACAAACAAAACGGGATGACCTTGGAATAAGTCAACCAGTTTGTCTCGGTTTTTGAACCTGTCATTGTTTTAGAACAACAGATGTTTCTGGAAAGTTGTTATGCGCTTTTAACTTGGACATAATTTTACACTTCATGTTATAAAATTGCACCACGAGTTAATATTAAACCCGTATGACTTTATTTTTTTTTCTGTAAACGTATTATTCAACATCAAACGTGACGCCAGTTTTAACATACTTTTTAAAATACAAGCTAATAAATCCATTGCCAGTGGATGGAATTTATTAAAAAATGTAAACCACCGTTCAAAATGAATTTAAATGTCCCCTCCGCCAAACCTTTTTGGGATCCTAGGTCCCGGAGTATATTATCTGTGCTCTCAGTGCTCTCCCCTCAGAGGTCTTGTAGCTCCTACAAAACTGCATAAAAACTTGGTAACAGCCAGTGCTAGATCTCTAGCAGAGTGTACATTGAGAGACTGTCTAAAGTCCGTGTCAAATGGCGACTCTTATAAAAAACATTACTAATTTCAATGTTCAATAACTCCAATAGCTCACAAGCTTTTGTATTGAAATTTTTTGATACGTTACTATTGTCCAATCCTGAAAATTTCAAGTGTTAAAGCGAAAAAGTGTTGACGATTCCCTCAAATTAAAAAAATTAATAAATAAAAAGAAAAGAAAGAAAACATGTTGGAAAGTGCCATGACAGAGACACTGGCCCCTGTCAGGGGTCACACCAGCCGTCACATAGGCCAGCAGTTTTTGGCTTGAGTATTTATTTAAAAAACATTTTCCTAAAATATCCCAAATTTCATTGCAATATCTTCAAAACCGTTAGAATCATTGAACTTTGGAATTAATATGTATTGTTTTGAGCCATGGCCACCCAATAGGCCTATCTGCAGAACGGGGAGAACTAACAGCCCACTTCAAAGTCTTTCATGCTTTACAGACATCCGCTTATATAAAGAAATTAGAAATAACCTTTCTAGAGGGAAATGGATCTAACCGAAGCCGTGCTGTAGGATGGGCCTTGCTGTATTACCTAAGAAAACAGCTATCAAACCCGCAAATATATACTGTACATTAGAAAAAACCAGTAGACCTGTAAACTTAAAGCGTCAGATCTATAGGACCATTATATAGCAAATATATATTCTTGGTAATTTCAACACTCTTTCCCAATAAACTCCAAAACAGTTGTAAATTACGTTCTATAAAATCTCCTACTAGTTATTGGGTCTCACTCGTGATGGAGATTGGCGAATTTCACGCATAATGTAGGTCTAACGGTAAAATTGATTTCTTTTTTTCGAAAATGGATTTATAGATCGTAAATTTCTCAAAAGTTTTGGATATGATTGGATTGTCGCGTATGTATACCTGTACCTCGGTGATGTTCAGGGAAATTTTGCTCATTTTACACGGCCTTATTAATTTACAGAATGCATAATCTACTACGCAGTCAAGTTTAGAAACAAAGAGCCGATTTTCTCTGCTTGTCACATGTTATTAATAACGAGGTGATATTTTACGCTGTGAATCATCGCTCCAGTTTTGGGACAACAACGCTAGATCAGTGCAGGTAACAGCTTGTGTTAACAGTGCGTGTTTTTAGAGCACATCTACTGCAATTGGGAATTTTAAAACTGGGAACTCCGGAAGTGACGTCATGTAAACTAACTCGCCATATTGATCAAGTGGGTATAGACGTTTTGTTGTTGTTCCTCGTTTCATGAAAGACTGCACCCTAGAAACTGTGTGAAAAACGCCAGCTGATCCCCAGAAAGGGCGAAGAATAGAATCAGTGATGGTGTTGTTGCAGAATGTAAGTATATAATGCAATGTGTGGCAAAGTAGCAGTGGAAAACTTCATAACGGTTCGAGTGGAGTTCGTTTTGGGATATTCGTACTACTCCTTACAACTAATGCAAATATGTTATTCGGACGAGGGTAATTCTTGATAAACATGGGACTGTGACACCCTACTAGGAGACCGAGATTGTTGAGTCGGGCGACGCACTTGGTAGGCAAATTCGTTAGTGTTTATGTTTCAGTTGCATACTTTATGTTTTCTTGATGATAAAAATTAGAATTGAATTTAAAAATACAATTTATCAAGCAGATTTGTATTCTTGACTTGTCTGTACACATTGCATTAAGATGTGTATCAGAGAAAACGAGAATCGTTTGAGATAGATCAGAAGTTTTGTGAATTATCGTAAAATTGAGAGATTTTGTGGGATTTGTAGGAGAGGATGGTCAGAAATCGTAGCAGACTAGCAATGCAGCAAGGAATGAAACCTGACAAATTTATACACGGATAAATTTCTGTTTGTTTTCTCTGAAGTTCTGTAAAATAAAGTAGTCCTTTGTTCAACAGTACATATTCACCATGTTTTGTGTGTCACTTTTTGGGGTGTCACTTTCCTACATTATGTCATATAGTGGCAACAGCCTCACTTTAGGCTATCTTGCATGATTTCCATAAAGTATCTATTTCAAGTTTTTTTTTATAAATGAGTCAAACACAGTGAAATGTATGAAGACCAAGGGTTTGATTAAGCAGCTTTAAGAAATTGATGAAAAAAATAGATAAATTAATATGTTAACAGTTTTTACTTACTATATTTCATGGAGCATTATGCTTTAGCCTAATGGTTCTAGAATTAAACATTTCATGGTGTCTGAAAGGGAGCTAAATGTTTTGCATGGATTATGTCTTGGTTTTATTAGATAAAAATTGACTAAAGCAGTAGGGTTCAAAAATTTATAACGTCACATTTTATTGGTGATGCACAATGAGATTGCTCCTGAATTGGTGGTTTTAGGTTGTGAAGATAATGAAGTTTTATATGAGGATATATATAGATATATATATATAATGTAGCCTAGCTTTAAGGTATGTGGCTTATCAGAGGCAGTGTAATGAAAAGGGCGAATGACAAAATATTGGGAGACCAAAGGCTACATTGAACCTGAGGTATGTTACATATACAGTTACAATTGGTGTTAAACAGTTGAAATTTACTTGTTAAAAAGAAAAAGTATGGCACAGTTTAACATTCTTAAGTTTTGTTTGATCATAGCTCGTTTATGTCACACTCATTAGTTTCCTATTGATGTGTACATTCCAGATACTCAACAATTATATACCAGATTGAGTAAGAGAATTGTGCTCTAATCTTGCATGTG